TAAGTTGCCAGGCTGGCCTCAAACTGTGATTTTCCTGTCCCAGATTCCCAAGTAGCTGGGAATACAGGTATAACATTTCTGTTTGGATATAAGGTAGACAAAACAGAAATCCAACGTTGACAGTCATGGGAATCAATGGAGGGAGTGTGGAATTCAAGCTAAAAACTGCTAGAAGCTTCTGTGTCACCACCACTCTGCACACCCAGTGGTATGACTGGACTCTGGGGCTGGGGTGGGCCATGAGGGAGAGATGCCAGTGGCTGCTCAGGGTGGATGGGCACAGGGAGACCAAACCTGGCAGTCCTGGGGAAGTCAGAGTATTGACCACTACCAGAAGTAGTGGATACCAGGCTAGTCGAGCTCACTTAACCTGTCCAAAAAAGTACAGTTGGCAGCAGAAGTAGGCATAAATTATGAGCTCTATATGGACCCTTGTAAAGCAGCTTTTAAACTGGGCATGGTGGCACACACATGCAATCCCAGCCTCTGGGAGGCTGAGGCAGGAGGATTGCTGTGAGATCGAGGCCAACTTGGGCTACGTAGGCATTCAAGCCAGCCTGAACTACGTAGTGAGACCCTATCTCAAAATAACATAAACCTTTGTTGAGTTGTCCAGCTAACAAACGTTATCAACCTGTGTGTGTTACACATGGAATGATGGTAATGAACAAGATAAACAGACACCCTGCCCCGGAACTTTGCTAGCAATGGTTAGAAATACACGGCTTGTTGTGAAGTTACAGGCTTCTGTAGAGGGACCCTTCAGCCTGGGGAGGGTGGCAGAGAGGTGAAGGCCTCACAGACAGGGGTCAGTCCTGAGAGACAAGAACAAGGCCAGAGAGCCCTAGCAGATGTGCAGTGCGGTCTGGAGCCAGCTCCGGAAGAGTGGGCGGATTTCAGCTGCTGCCGCCAAGCAGCGGGCCGGCAGCATCTGGAAGTATGTGAGGGGGGAGACACAGGTCTGGCTATACAAGACCCTCCTGGTAGCTGCATGGGAACCATGTGGCTGGGGAGAGTGAGGGAAAGTCTTGTGGGAGATGGAGAGGCAGCTGGGGTCCAGGGAGGCTTTGGGCCTGAGTCTGGCTAGCTGCTGAGACATCAGTTAGAGAGGGGGTCTTGGGCACCTTCTGTGGCAAGCACTGCACCGCCTGGCTAGTCTTCCCAACATGGCAGCTCTGGAAGAGGCCCTGGCCTGGGATATGGCTCAGTAGAATAAGTGCTTTCTGGTAAGCGCAAGGGCCTGAGTTCAATCCCCAGTTCTGCCAATAAATAAATTCTGCCTGGAAGAGGCCCTGGCCTCTTGAGAACAGTGGCGAGTCCAATTTTGAACTAATTTTGAGGTTCTTACCCATTGTTCAAATGGGGAGTTGGGCATGGTGGCACACACCTGTAATCCCAGCACTTGGGAGGCTGAGGCAGGAGGATTGCCATGAGTTTGAGGCCAGCCTGGGCTGCATAATGAGTTCAAGGCCAGCTTGAAGTGCTTACTGTGACCCTGTCTCAGGAAAAAATAGATAAAATAAAGGGTCTCGGAGGAAGCCATATCCAGGTTTGCTTTAAGCCCTGGAGTCACCAGAAAGGCACCTTTCCTGGTGTTGGGAAGCACCCAGGAACACAGGTGGAGAAACCAGGCCCGCAGTGTCGGAAGTGAGCAGCTGCAGTCGCTCAGCCCCACGCACAGCACGCCGTTCCCCATGTGTGGACACAGTGATTTGTGAGCCTCAGGAGAGCTGGGGCCATCTGGACCCCATATGTGGAAGACCAGGGCCAGCCCCAGGGCTGTGCTGGGGTGGGGGACACCACAAGATGCCATTCAGGGAGCCAGGTGTGGTGACACAGGCCTGTGATCCCAGCCCCTGGGAGGCCCAAGCAGGAGGATTGCAAGTTTGAGCCCAGCTTGGCACCCCTCAGTGTCCCAGTTGTTCAGTGACACAAACCATAGAAACATAAGATGCTGGACAGCTGGAATGGCACCAGGACCCCAACCAGAGCGAGGTGCCCTGGGGCCTGGCTCACTGGCCTCTGGGTCTCTGTGGATGACAGGAACAGAGAAGAGGGGTGGAGCTAAGCCCCCACAGTCACTAGAGAGTCTGAGAGCCCAAAAGAGTGGGCTGTAGAGAGGCCAGGCCCTGCCCAGACCTGAGGTGACTGCTCTGCCTTTTAGGCTGTCCCTTTCATTTTCACCAGATGTGTTTATTTGTGTTTTTACTAGCATAATAGTATATTCTGCTAACAAAAGCCTATCTGCTTTCTCTTTTCTTCTCCTATCTTTTATTCTTTTTTATTTACGTGTGTGTGTGTGTGTGTGTGTGTGTGTGTGGCCAGCTCAGCCCACCAGAGGGCGCGGCTGGCTGGCATGTGGTGCTGGGGGATCAAACCGCGGTCCCTGTGCTTTAGCCAAGCTTGTTCCAAGTAGGTGCTTTAGATCACTGAGCCATCTCTCCAGCCCCTGTCTTTTATTCTTTTTAATCTTTTAAAGACAGGGTCTTGCTATGCAGTTCAACTGGCCTTGAACTCACTTTGTAGCCCCGGCTGGTCTTGATCTTGCATTGATCCTCCTGTCTCAGCCTTCCAAGTGCTGGGAGTATAGGTGTGCGCCACCGTACCTGGCTGAAGCATAGATATTCACACTGTGTACGAAAACCAGAGTTGATTTCAGTAGTAGAAATGTTTCCAAGAATATTTCTTGGAAACATTTAGAGATGGGACATATATATTTATATGTATTTATGTATTCTTTGAGCCATCCGAAACTGATTCCAGTTCTTGGTGTTTTCCTCCACCTGGGGCAACGCAGGAAGTCCTACGAGTTCGAAGACCTGCTGCAGGGCCCGTCGGAGAACAGCCACGCCGATTGGTACGCACAGAGCAGGCTGGGGCGCACGCGCACGCTCTCAGAGGAGAATGTGTATGAGGACATCCTGGGTAAGAGGCCCTGCCTGCTGGGAGAGGCCCGGCTGGCCCCTGCTCTGATCGCCTGCACAGAGTGCGGTCCAGTGGTGGAGGGCGCTGTAGCGGGAGGGGGCGCTGGAGTCCCACAGCCTGCATATGACCTTGTTCTGCTAGTGGCTGTGTGATGCTGAGCTGGTGACCTTACTTCTGTGGCCTCTTCTTCTCTCATCTGCATGGTGATAGCCTCTTGCAGGGGCTTATGGACTTGGGAGAATGGGGTATACTGAGTTTCTGAAATGCCCCCAACATTGCAAGGTTACTGTAGGAAAGAGCCCTGCAGACCAGCAGAGCCCTGAGGGAACCGCAGGAGAGTTGCTCTCACAGGGCATCTCTCTCTCTCTCTCTCTCTCTCTCTCTCTCTCTCTCTCTCTCTCTCT